CCCGCCGCCCCCCTGGTCTGCAGACCAGGGGGACGGGGAGCAAAGCAGCAGAACACACGGGCAGCCCAGACGCATCTGGGCTGTCCGCCGCCCGTGTGCTCCCCGTCCCCCTGGTCTGCTGGAGACCAGGGAGAGGGCCCCGTTCGTAAGTGCGGATCCGACATAAGTTGTATCCGCGTAACTCGGGGACTGCCTGTAACTACTAACTCAGATTTGGAAGGGGCAGTTTTTGTATTTAGAGGTACACCAGCTGTGCAAAGAGACCCTTAGAGCACAGCCAACCAACTCCAGTGAAAATGTATACAAAATAAGCAAATATACCTTCATCTTCATCCTCTTCATCACTGGATTCACTGACATGCACACTGACTGCAGTGTTAGGCGAGTCTGTCCATTCAAAATATACCCCAAAACCAATGTCATAATTGTCTGTAGCAAACTCCCAGAAGAGATACGACCCTTCTTCGTGAGTTGGTACTCTGACTGTAACCACTTCTCCTCTGCCTACTGTGATCACAGAGTCTGCATCTTGTCGGATCTTCTCTTTGAAGTCTTTTATCTGGGGTCGTGTCCACATGGATGGAGCCGCTATCACAGGAACAGATTCTAAAAAATGGAAAAAGCATGGAAAGTGAAGGGCTTGACTTAAAAAAATACAGTTATGTAACATGTCACTTCTGTAAGACATGGCATCATCCAGCCTCTGCAGGGCAAGTCTTAAGGTTGCATCTTAAATGGAGCTTTCATGCTACAGGACAATGCTCTTGTAATGGAGGCCTAGGAAACTCACATGAAATACAGCATTGGAACATTACAAATCAACCTCTTAGAAATGTAAGTCTGGCTGAGTGTTCCATTTGACTTGTGGCTGCCAGCCCATCTAAGCTGACTGACAATTCTTTCCATCTTTATTCAGGAAAAACCTCATTTCCCAAGACATCACTTCAGTGCAATATGAGTTACCACTATAATTCCAGGCACAGAGGGTAATGACTGATTCTATGACAGCTAGAGAAGATCATTTAAATCCTTTAAACAAATTCCTAAACATGAAAGCTGTTTTGACATGTAGTCAACTACAGAACTGCTCTGCTTTTTACACACAGGACCCAGACCCCATCCCCTGGTTTCTTAGTAAGGCCTGCCCAAATGTCACAAGGACTGCGGATGAAGGCAGGAAAGTGCTGCTGCTGAAATCAGGAACAGACAACTACAGGGGAGGGGTGGGTGAGAGTGTGTGTGTGGGGGGGGAGGGGAGATGTGAGTGTGGGAAGAGTGGGTTGCTTTTCCTCCTCTTGTAACCCTCCTTACAACAGGTTTCTGCGAGCCAAGGGAACACCGAGGAGCTGCAGTCTGGTGGATTGGAAGGAGAATACATCGGGCTCACTGAAAGAGGAGCGGTGGCAGGAGAGAACAAATTACTTCTTTAAAGTCTCTGCCTTTAAACACTTGGTTCTAGTATCCATGAGACTACACCCTTCAATGAACACCCACCACCCCCATCAATACCCACTTGTGCAACTATGAGAGAGAAGTTCTGCAACAGAACTTCTACCTTACATTCCTTCCCTCTGTGGTCTTGTGTCAATTCAAGTGGACTGGACAGGACTCTTTGGAACCCATCCAGCCCTCTCCTAGTTTAGGTACTGGAGTTGCTGCACATGTGTCTTTCTATAGGAACTGCCTTTATACACAATCCCTTCTTTAGGAAAGGAAGGGAGTGGGCCCAAGAACCAAATCTAGCTCTCACACAGTAAATACAGCGTGCCAAATACAGACAGAGCCTCAATACCAAAGAAAGAAAAGCAACTGGTAATTTGATTGCCTTCTAGAACTAGAAGTTCGAGATGTGTGGTCCTGATCTATATTCCACAGGAGGTGAGTGTGCACTTATGCACTTTGAGTTGGAGAATTCTTGCAAGTGGCATCCATTGGTTCATGCACACATACTCCTCTCTTTGTGCCTCAAACCAAAAGATAACATGGGCAGAGCAGACTGACTGCCTTTCAAGTTTTCTACTGTGAATCCAGGAACGAGCCAAAAAGGGGAATGAAGGTGGGTAATGAAACAGATAGGAACCACCTATCTCAAAGTTACTTTTCTTCCAGTCCACTGAGAATGACCATCAAGCAGTACTCAAGTACTAGAAGGAGATGAGTGTGCAAGCAGCAGACTGTTTGAAAGACCACTTTCACAAAGGTTGCACCAGCAGTGGACAGTGATCCCTCTAAGCTGTGTACCAGCACAGCTTCACAGGTGATCAATCAGCCACACAGAGTCAGAAGCTCAGGAGCTGACTGGGTGGGGCTGATTAATCACCTGGCCACACAGCTTACAGGGAACACTGGTGGTGAAGTCCTGTACTAGAGCATAAGTTCTCATGACTGCATGGATGGATCTCCAGGCAGCTGCCTTGCAAACGTCAAGGACAGGAACTTCCTGAAGTTCCACCACTAACGTTGCTTGTGCTCTTGTAGAATGAGCCCTTACCTCATGAGGAAGGGCAAGAAGTGACAACTGGTTGCAGAGTCCGATACATCCCGAGATTCATTTAGAAATCTTCTGGGAAGAGACAGCATGACCTCAAAGTCATTCTGCTATAACAAGAAAATAATTTATTTTCTAGTTGGCTTTGTCCTAGGTAGGTAACAAGCCAACGGCTGTTGCATGTCAGTGGAATGCAGTCTGCTCCTCGTATACATGAGATTTTGGAAAACGACAGACGATTGACTGGCTTAATGAGAACTCTGAAAGCACCTTGGCAGTGAACTTTGGATGTGGTCATGATAAGACTTTGTCCTTAGTGCATACAGTGCATGGCAGATTCACCATTAGGGCTCGGAGTTTCTCCAGCCTCCATGCTAAAGTGATGGCCAGAAGGAACACAACTTTTATTGCATCAGAGGGGTAGCGTGTTAGTCTGTAACTGGAAAATCTTAAACAAAAAGTCTTGCAGCTCCTTAAAGACTAACAAAACATGTAGATGGTATCATAAGCTTTTGTGGGCACAATCCACTTTTTTTTAAAATAGGTAATACATGGAGCATATCCCTAGTGTTTGAAGGGAATCAGTGAGTGCCAAAAACAAGGTTCAAGTCCCCGTGAGAGGTAAGCTTCCTTATTGGTGGGGAAGTTCAAATTGGGCCTTTCAAGAAACTCTCAATCAATGGGTGAGTGAAAATTGAGTAACTGTTGATGGCGGATGGCATGCACTGAATGCTGCCAGGTAGACTAAGGGGATTGAGTGAGAGCCCAATCCCCTTTTTTGGGGCTGACCGAGATATGGGTTTCATCTGTACCCAAATGGGAAAAACACTTCCCCTTGCCTGAGCTGCATTTAACATACTTTATTTTCTGTTGCTAAGGATAGTTTGCAAGGCCTCCAAGCAAGAACATTCTGGTTGATGCACATCCAAAAACCAAGCCATAAGATGGGCAGGACAAAGCATCCTGACCTTTCTCCTGGATCAAGAAGAGTGGGAAAGGACAGGATGCTGATCAGAAGGTAAGATGATATAAGGAGATTTGGGAACCAAAAACTGTCTGGGCCAACTCAGGACAATGAGGATGACATATGCCCTGTCCTATCTAATTTTCTGTTGGAATGGGGAGAGAAAGTCAAAACCAGATGCCCTGACCAGGAGAAAGAGGACAGAGTGTAGCTCTAGAGCAGTGGTTCTCAAAGTGCAGTCTGCAGCTTGAGCTTGGCTCTCCCCCACACAGCGGGGAGACCGTGCTGGAGGCTTTCCCCACTGCTCCCATTGGCTGGCCAATAGGAGCAGCAGGAGGCTGTGCTTGGGAGCGATGGGGGCATGAAGCCTGGTAAGCATCCCCCTCATGCCCAGACCCCACACCCAAATCCCCCTCTCATTCATTTCCCCCCCTTCCTCCCCAGACCCCACACCACCTCCTCCTCCAACCTAACTTCTTTTGCTCTTGCTCCTGCTCACCCCAGCCAGACACCCTAACTCCCAGCCTTCTTTTGCCCCCAGACCTTGCACCCTCACCCACTCCTGCACCACCCCACCTTCCATCCAGATCCTGCACCCCCATCCTATCCCACTTGCTAGCAGCCCTGATCTGCCCACTCCAGAGCCTAAAGGAGGACTCACAAAATCCACTTACTACAGAACCCTAGAAAAGTAAATCTGGCTAATGAGAAGCCCTGAACTTCAGTCTTCCCTCTCCCTTCCCTTTGCCCCATGGGGCTGGAGCACCAGAGGAGTGAGGTGTTTCGGTTGGGGGCCATATCAGTGACAGTTGGGGGTTTTAGGAAGAGTTTTGCTTCTCGCTTGTGTGGTCCCCAACTGATTTTTCTGTGGGTCAGTGGCCCCATCCCAAAAAAGGTTCCCACCCCTGCCATAAAGAAAGATGACATTGAAATCTTGTGTTGGACATTAATTTAATTTTACTTTATTTAAAATGAGTCTGATAAGAGTTTGAACTCTCTCATGTTAGTTTAACCTGTTTAATAATTTAAATTAAACTTTTCTCCCTAGCTGCAGCACTAGAAAAATGGCTTGGGTGTAATTATGGGTGCATTTCATTAGCAACAGGTGGTCCGCAGAAAGGCTTGCAGTGAGCCAGGGGAGACACGGACCACAAAGTTTGAGAATCACTGCTGTAGAGCACCTTTGGAATAGCAAATACAGCATTTTGGGTTGGTACAGAAGGCAAACATCCCACGTTGGGCTTCCATATTGAAGATACTGTTCACCAGAAAACTGTATAGCTCCCACTTGTGATTGATGGCAAAATACCTGCAAAGGGTCTGCCAACAGATTCCAAGTTTTCCAAAAGGTAAGCTGCCAAATGACACCATTTTCACAGGGTGACAGCTTACACATAATGGGGAATGACTCTTACCTTCCTAGTTTGCTAATGTAAAAGAATGTCCATATTATCTAACATAAGGACATGCTAGGACTGGACAAGCTGCAGAAAGGCCTGCATGTTTCTCACACAAGGATATTCCAGAAGACTAAGTCACATCCTGGTATCTTAGAGCATCCAAGTGCCCGGTGCAGTGTGGCTGTCTACACGGCCCCCTACCACCTTAAGAGGGAAGCATCTATTGACAGTCTTTTCCAGTGAGGGATATAGGAGGAGAACACACACACACACACACACACACTCTTTATGCGGGTCCCTTCCACCAACTTAATGACAATTCCTTCCAGAATAGCATCTCTAAGATATATGTGCTGTTTGGCTGGTGAACATGCTCTCTGGAGTCATGCCTACAGGCCAGGGGTGGAGAAGCTTAGGCCCAGGGGCCAGATGCAGTCCCCAGCTTTCCTGGATCTGGCCCCTAGGGCTCAGGGCTCCTGCCCCCCCACCACTGGGGAGCCCATGCTGGAACTCCAGACCCCACTTCCTCCCACAACTGATTTTTCTGTGGGTCAGCAGCCCCTGACCCAAAAAAGGGGTCCTGCAACAGGCAATGTAAGTAGAGTCTGGTGAATGGGATAACAAGTGCATGAAGCCAGGAGGGAAAGGCAAGTTGAGTGGTGCTTAAGAGTTGTGCATAACCTGTTCTATCGGGTCACTCATGGAGCAAAACTCATCTGTTGACTTGCCATGTATCAATCCAGTGTTGCCCCTG